AGACCAGAGGCCCTGGGAGGCCTGCACCCTCTCCGTCACCCAGGTCTGCTCTCTGCGCTTCAGAGCGGGGGTCGGGAGGAGGGTGGGGGGCCTTCCTCCAGTTTCTGTTGATCTGTTCTGGGCACAATTTGGGAACAACGTTAGATTTATAGGAAAGTTGCGAAGCTAATGCAGAGGTCCTGATGCCTCTCACTAGTTGACACCAACTTCACACCCTCTGTTGCCTTATCCATCTGCTAAGAGAGACCTGTGTTGACATAGTCCCATTAAGGAAACTTCAGGCTTCATTTGTATCTCACTGGTTTTCCTAGCACGTCCTCTGTTCCCGGAACCCGTCCCAGTCCCGGATGCCGGATGGAATTCATGCTTCAGCTTCGAAAGCACTTCCTGCTCCTGTCGCCGCCCTTCCCTTCCCTTAAGGTGTTCTTTCTGTACAATCGCTCAAAACTTTATGAATTCCCTGGGAAGAGTGACAGATTCATCTGTGAACTGATTTTTAAACATCGGAGCTTTCACCCCCTCCTTCCCCAGGGGTGGGCCTGCGGGCTTGGAAGGCATATGCCCTCAAACAGGTGCCCGTGGAGGCCCCCCAGGAGCCGAGGGACAGGGTCAGAATGGAGGCCCTTAGACACAGCTGTCACCCCTGAGCTCTGTCGGGTGTGTCACAGGGTGACCCCGAGCTGGGACTGCAGCTGCGGTCCTGTCTGTTTCACTTTTCTGTCGCACCAGCGTGGGGTCGTGCCTGCGCTCTCCTCGGGGTGAATGCGGTTAGGCAGTGCCTGAGTGTATCAGGGGGAGAGGAGAGGACAGATCTCGCCCCCGGCCCAGGCACCGGGGGTTGTGCCCAGGCCTCATACGCGTTGGCTGTGCGCTGCTCTGTGTCGGTGGCGGGACACTGGGAGGGGACAGATAGGTCAGCCTTGAGGGTGAGGGGCGACAGGACCAAAGCGACAATGATGGCTCCCGTGGTCTAACCGGGCCAGATCCCTGGCACACGGTCATTTCTCTCCCGCTTGGTGGGGGGCTGGGGCGCAGTTGCAGACTCTGCAGCAAGCAGTTCAGGGCCAGTGCAGCTCAAGGACAGGCTGGGATTCATTTATTTTATGGGCTAAGCAGAAGTGTGTGGCCTCGCCAGGAAATGTAGCCGACATTTGTACCATGATTTCTGTGAGAAAGGGGTCCTCAACTCTCAATCACCAGTTTCGATACAGACTTTGGAAATATGATCCGTTTCTACGTTGGGATGTATCGGTGTTAATTCATTGGTGTTCTTTTCAGTAGCTACTGCAAAACATGGGGGCCTGTGTGTGTGTCCAATTTTATGTGATTTA